GGAGAGGGTGAGTGAGAGAGAGAGGGAGAGAGGAAGAAAGGAAGAGGGAGAGAGAGAGGGAGGGAGAGAGAGAGAGAGAGAGAGAGAGAGAAGGATATACATGCTGAATGGTTCTTGCAACTATTGCTATGTTGATATTCCTAACTCAAAAAAATTGGTGACTTAACAAATGGCAATAATGCTTCCTACAGATGCGTTTCTATTATTGTTTTTTTTACGGGTAAATTTTCTTAACTTTTGATCCACAGGCGACACGGGACTTGTTGGAGACGGCTGCCTTTCACCCCATGGACAGTGACCTGATCGTCACGGCTGGGAAGAACCATCTCGGCTTTTGGACGATCAAGAAGATCACTGCAGGATCCAGCAGCAAGGCGTTCTTAACCATGAAGAAAGGACTGTTTGCGGTAATTCGTGTTGTTTTGTACTTTGTATAGTTATTTACCAAATGGTTTAGTGAGTAGAGTGCTAATTATTCATTCGTTGGGTCGCTAGTAAAGTTTCATCCCAGGCTGAGTTTTGTTTGCAAGGCCACATATTTACTAGGAAAATACTGCCCAAATGAGTTTCGCGAATATTAGGTGCATAGATGAACACTTTTGCCTTTGTTTAGTTTTTTGTTAAGAACAAAAGATGCAAAAGAATATTCTCAGGTTTTGAGTCAGTATCAAGTCATATTTCCTATGCATTAATTAATTCATTGATTCGTTGTCTAGGAGCATCAGGCAAAGTTTGTTCATTGCTTGGACTTCGGCCTTAATGGTGACGTCATCACTGGGGATTCGAAAGGAAGCATTTTAGTCTGGAAGAAAGGTAAGGGCGTTTTCGGATAAAAATACAAAGGAATGGACAAAGATTGTCTCAAGTTGTGTTCTTTTGAAGTTGCCATGTAGTGTATATCTTATACAATTGTTGTGAAATAAACAATTAACTTATTATTCTTACCTTCGAATTCCCAGAATGGATAAAGATTATTTTGCTCAGTTTCTTCCTCTTCTTCTTATTCAAGCAAATGACCTGGAACAGACGTCTGTCACCATAGTAACTAGCATTGTAGCAGACACCCTGTGGTGTAGGGTTACATTATGTAGCAGGGCAGAGCTAGATTGGCTTCTCACCACATTTTATATTTGAATGTATTGAAGTAAAAGTAAGTAGAGCAGTAGTTTATTGGTTAGACCAATTGTAAAGGTAAACATTATGCATTTTCTTTGCAGGTGTTCCCTTTCTAGATATTATGTTTATCTTCTCCCTTTTTTCTTCATCTTCTTCCTCTTCTTCTTCCCCAAACAAACAAGGTCAATGACCTGAACCAGACGTCTGTAACCGTGGTAACTAGTTATCATTATGTTGCAATTTGTATCCACAGGTTGTAACAGAATCAGCCACTCCAACGCGGGCGCGCACAAAGGTGGCATCATGGCGCTGCGTGTGCTGACGTCAGACGTTACCCTAGTAACGGGAGGCGGGAAGGACAGACGTGTGGTGGTGTGGGACAGGTCTTACACCAGGCAGCTACGGGAATGCAAGGTAAGGAAAGGCCTGTTTCCTTGTAATTCTTGGTCTTTAAGCATCATGGCAAGAACACGTAATTGTAATTATTGGTTATGCCCACGACGGTAAGAACACTGGGACGGGGGCGATACCAACTTCCGACGAACTAGTGACGTCAAACGTGTGGAAAAATCACGCGTCAACATCACTTGGTAAGGAGGAATATTCTGACATTTTTGTCTCATCTTAAAGTTTTGCCACGATTTCCTTGTGAACTTTGGTCTATACACATCGCGTTAATAGCATATTATTCAGTTGCGCATCCCATACATGGTAAAAGTATGCTTGATTGCTGGCTAGACTTTATATAGTACAATTTCTGTATTTTCTAATTTCACGAACTACTAGCCTTGGCTGATTTTTATCTTTTTTCTTTTTTTCTAGCTGGACAGGACCCTGGGCGGTGTGAGGTCCATCTGTACGGCAGACAGATCTCAGATGTTCTCGGGAAACAGTTTGTTTCTCGGCACCCTTTCTAACGCGCTCTGCCATTGGACACTGGACTTGGAGACGGTCGAACCCGCAGCTAAGGTATGTGATCTTTTAACGACGGTAACTCTGGATCTGTCACGTACTAGTTTCAGTGCACTTTTACTTTTAGATTATCCTTTTCACAAAATACCAAATGATTCATCTTTGACCTCTGGTTACAATATTTAGCTTTTAGGACCTAACTTCCTGTTCCTGTATCTTCTAGGTCCTTTTGTGGTCTGTGGTTAGGGAATTCCTCCCACCCATGAGCTGTCACTCAGACAAAGGCAAATACGAACACACACACAAAGCAAAAAATTAAACCTCCGCAAACGGATTTAATGAACCGTTGTGGCTAAAACATTGGTTTTAAGCTTAAGATCCTTGCTTTGAATTAAAACTCGCAATCTTCATCTAACAGGGCCATGCAGATGAGTTGTGGGGCCTTGCAGCTCACCCCAGGAAAGCCCAGTTTGTGACGTGTGACTACAGCGGCCTTGTGGTGCTGTGGGAGAGCAAAACTCACCAACCAGTGTGGAGAACACAGCTCAAGGTATTTGACTTAATAGTTAAACCTTTATTGTTATCACTGATATATATTCTGTACGTAATTTGCCACATGTTTTCTGTACGTAAAATGAAGTCATCCATGTATTTAACTTTGTTAGATCTTTAGTTGTAGAAGGCCATACAAAAGTCCCTGTACCTTTTGTTGTGTCAATAAAGAATCTCTCTTAATATGAAAGGTCCATTTTATGATCAGTCAAATCTTAAATACTGTAGCAATGTATGTTTTATAATCTTGATGTGTTTTTACAAACTAGTTTGCAGCCCAGTCAGCCCAGTTTCACCCCAGTGAAGAAATTCTTCTGATTGGAACAACCACAGGAAGGTACGTGAACAACCACCTTTGCTATCATTCTTTTAAATTAGCAAACCATTGCCAAATTAGAGCCATGCATGGCATGGGAAGTACATGGGCTAAAAGTGCCGGCGCCAACTTTGATTTCGGATAGCGTCTGAACGGCTTACGCTAGAATCACCAAACTTGTTGATTTTTCCTAAATATTGTTGAAAACAACTTTGTATCATATCCCACGTTTCTAACACTAACAGTTAATGTTGATGACACATATGATTCATATGTGCCATCAACATTAACTGTTAGTGTTAGAAACGTGGGGAAAAAATCCAAGGAATTTCACAATGCCGGATGTTGTTCCTGACACAATATGATGTTACTATCAATAGAGTTAGATTAGTATAATTAGCATCTTTATTGTTATGCATTGTATATGAAAGCAGAACAACTCCTTAGAACGATTAAAAATGTCACCTCTTAGAACTGTTAGATATTGTTAACATCACCAACTATCATTTTTGTCATACGTTGTACCCGGTACATCTGTTGTGCAATAAAGTTCTTTAAACTTTTCTCACAGGTGGTACTGCATGGACGCCTCCTCTGCTGCTGTCATCGAAGAGCATCAGTCCGGAGAGGACAACAAACAGCTGGACTGCCTGCGGTTCTCGCCAGATGGCGCTATTTTAGCGGTGGGGTCCCACGATAACCACATCTACCTTTACAACGTGGAGAATCACGGGAAAAGCTACAAGAAAACGACAAGGTATGAAACTTTATGCTACCGTTATTGTTTCCTCAAATTCACATTATCAGAACTGGAACGTCCATTAAACTTAAAAGCTACTCTTTTGCATACATATATCACCTATAATATACACAACTCGTTCTTGATACTAAGCTTAATATCAACTCTTCTATATTATTTTATATATGCTATATTCAATTTTACCACTCAACACAATCGTATGATTAGGGTTTCTAGCATGGGCAAACTAAATTATCTAAAAGGTGATATTCATTTCTGGTGAAAGAAACTGTTTTGATAGCGTACTAATTTTAATCTCAATGGTTATACATGTATCTGCATCTGTATCTGTATAGCCGGTATAACCGCCCTTCGTCGTAACACACCAGCTTTTGTATCTGTATAGCCGGTATAACCGCCCTTCAGCGTAACACACCAGCTTCGCAGGCACGCGGCGCGGCGGCAGCTGGCTACATTACACCGATCGACCTGTTACACCCATCCCTTGAACATCTAACTCTAAACATTGTTCAAAGCTATCTAATATACCTGTTAGGTTGAGCGGGCACTCCAGTTTCGTGACGCACCTTGACTTCTCGACGGACGGTCGGTACATGCAAAGCACGTCGGGAGATTACGAGCTGCTGTACTGGGACGTGGCCGCGAGGAGTCAGCTGCAGTTCAAGTCAGCCATGCGTGACGTCACGTGGAACACACAGGTGAGAGGGTTTAAAATTGGTTCATCTTAACTAGCCAAAGGGCGGCTGGAAAGAGTAGAAATTGGCGAATCAGACGATAACATGCCAGGGGAGTTAGTCCGATGAAAGCTGTACTCGTGACCAATTCCCCTCGCATACCCTCTCTATTTGCCATTTTTTACCTCCCCAGGCGCTTCCCAAAGCCTGGTAGAGGCTACATCATCGCTCCAGTCTACATTGATAGTTAGTAGAATATTCATCATCAATCAGTGACTGTTCTGAAAGGTAGCAAACACGTACCTCCAAATTTTCGACTTCCACTGAAAATTTGGAGGCCTTGTTTGATTGCTACCTTTCAGAACAGTCACTGATTGATGAATATTCTACTAACTGTTTACCAAATCCTAAAGTTTTTATTCTTTTGTAAACTTTTTCTGTTTGTGATCCCCAGACGTGTGTGTTCGGGTTTCACGTGTTCGGCATGTGGCAGCAGGGAGCGGACGGACACGACATCCTGTCCTGTGCCGCGTCAGGCTCCCGCGCGCTGCTGGCCTCAGCAGATACTCACGGCAAGGTTAACCTGTTCACCTTCCCATGCAGCACGTTTCAGGTACAGAGAGTCGTGATACTCCTATTTTCAAAAACCCGTATTTTCCAAGAACTATTGTAAAGTGGAACTCGTTGCCACCAAGCACAGTTGGGGCATAAAGGTTTAAACAACTCCTGCAGTTAAATGTGCAAAGATTGAGTGTAACAAGTCGTTCGGTATGATATAGCTAGCTGCTGCCGCGCCGCGTAAAAATTCCTTGTTTATGGGAGTTACCTGGGCGTCAGACTTTTGCCAGGGTCAGTATACAGACTAGCTCCTCAGCTAACATGTCTAAAAGGAAATTTTCTCCTCAGTCTGGGACTGGCTTGTGTATTCGGCCTTGGAAAATCTGGCATGCTATAAAAAGTTGATACCATGATGATACTATGATGATACCAATTACTGTGTTTGGATTTATAAAATGTTAAGAAAGAAAGTTTTTTTCTTCATTTTTTTCACAACTTTCAGGCGCCAGGGCACGTCTATCCGGGACATGGCAGTCACGTGACATCCGTGATGTTCCTGCGCGGCGATGATTGGTTGATTTCGACAGGCGGGATGGACTGTAGCGTCATCCAATGGCAGGTCGTGCGCCCCGCGCCAAAACAATCCGCAAAACGGACCCACAAAGACTACAACAAACCTTCTAGATTAAGGTTTTTAGTACTTCTCATCCATTTTCAAATGTTTACCGAATGAAAAAGTATTTACTGTTTTTGCTCAGTTTCTTCCTCCTCCTCTACTTCTTCTTCTTCTCCAAAGAAAGTCAATGACCTGAACCATGCAGACGTCTGTCACCATGGTAACTGGTGTTGGGTTACATCATTTTACATCATTTTATAGCAGGAGGGATTCAGACTCCTGTCACCATATATATGAATGTGTTTGAGTAAGAATTAACAGGGCAGACCATATGCGAAGGTTAACATTTGTTCATTCCCAAATACAGACCATCCTCCACCAGCATGTTATCGGCTATAGAAGAATTTCTACCGGAGAATGAGTGTAGAAGTGCGGAGAAGGCGGCTGTGTCGGACGCGTCTACACAGACGAGCAGACCGGGTTCACCGGACAAGACCAGCCGGCACCCGTCACCCCAGCCACCGCCTGATCCAGCTCAGGAGGAGAAGAAGATGATACAGCAACTAGTGGACAGCTTGTTTTTGAACAACTGAACATTTTGTAGTATAGCTAGCCTGTGAACACAGGTTCTTTGTCCGGTGCTCAAAGAGCTGCCACCTCGATGTCACAAATTCGGTTTCACCGGTAAAACAAGGAGTACTTATCACGTAGACATCAACTCATTTTGCTGCTCTTAGATTCCCCGCGCTGATTTTGACCGAAGTGTTCGAAATACTAGTAGAACAGGGGGGTTCGACGTGTTCGATCAGGAAAGGTCCATTAGGAAGCCGGCAAAAAAGGCGAATTTCAATCGGGCTATGGTATTAGATTTGAAGAAAACTTATAATCGAACGTGTTTTGTTATTTTCAAATTTGATTTGTACACTGTAATAAGATGCCCTAAAACCGTCTTTCCTTGCAGCAATTGTGTAAAGAAACCATTAAAATGTTTTGTATTAATAGTTTTATAAACAATTAATTAACTGATGTAATACACAATAAGGTCTAAGGTAAGGTCTAATACACAATAAATCAAGCAATTGGATACATTATTTGTAAAATGATGCCCCTCTCAGCCGATTTCTACCATTTATTCAGCCTGCAAAGGAGTCTGGTGGAGACTATAAGAAATGTATCTTTACAAAATAGAAACATTATAAAAAGTTGTTGATAGATAGAGGAAACCTGTATATATGTATGGAACACAATCAACTGTAATACAGTTTTAAAGAACAATATATACAGCCATAAACCCCTCCCAATGTGAGATATCCATTCAAGAACAGAAAGCAGCTAGAAGCTCATTACCACTTCATAACTTCTAGTCACCTCGTAGCAAAGGTCCTTATCCTACATGTACTATACAGAAGGCAGAGCAGTAGTTTCATAGTATATTTAACGCTTTCTGTATTGACTCACATACGGTGTGAACTGTGAGATATTAACAGCACAACGAGAACCAGAATCGCAACGTACTTCCAAATGTGTCTCTGAATATCAGCGAAGAAGTTCAGTAACGAAGAGAAGTTAAAACTCACCACCAAGCAAACTATCTACATATTACATAGAAGGCACATTACATGTATTAGCATTAATTATGCATCGACATTGAAACTTTTTGCATAGGTTTATTTAAGTCTCATCCGCGAGATATCAACAACGCATTTCTTCCATAACTGTACATTTTCTTAAAACCCTTGTCCTGCGGGGCCCATATATATATGGGTTGCACATACAGTACCATCTATATAGTGCCCTGTATATGTGCAATTTGGGGGTGTTTCTCGTGCAACGCATCACACCGCAGCGAAACGCAACGAATGCGGAAGTAACTACGCCACCGCGGGGCAAAAAAACTCAAGGGTCTGTGACCTGATTAAGACATGAAATTATTTGAAAATATCGTGTAAAAATTGCCAGCAGGACAAGGGTTAATCTCCAAGCAGATCTTTCGGTGGCAAGACAGTATCCATTGGCCAGCTGCAGAGAAGTGTCCATTAGCCACCTTTGTTGGCCGTGCAAACTCCTCTGGCTAATGGAAACTGTCTTGCCACCGAAAGGGATCTATTTGGAGATTACATTTCCTAACTTTGCCTCTAAATAGCAACAAAGAAGAATAACAAAGAGCAGCTAACAGCTCAACATTATGCATGTAACCTTTGTCACCTCGTATCAAAAATCTTTATCCTCTATCATCATCATCATCATCATCATCATCATCCACTGCATTCTGCATTCATTCAATATTCATTCCTCTATATACTGCATAAAAGGCATCTTATTGAAAGTATTCACATTGATTCCCGAAATGACATCTCATGTCCTCGGTGATGATGATGATGATATTTTTATTAGCATTACTTTTGTAGCATCTTTGACGCTCTTTGCATAGATTCATATAAGTCTCAACCGCGAGATATTTACAGCACATCAGCACACGGAACAAAAAGATCACAATATTCGTCCATAAATGCTCTCTAAATAGCAAATACAGACAGAAGAAGCAAAATATAGGGGTTGGTCCCACAGGATGTCGATCATTTACCACAGATACGTAATCTTGAAATTCAAATCCAAGCTAGACAAATTACCTAAATGTGTGCCAAATTTGGTAGCCTGGGTGCCATCCTCTGTGGGTTTTGCTGGCTCCCACGTTGGCTCCCACGGAACCTGACCTTCATCGCTAGACCTTAGGCATACTCATATGTGCAATACTGAACTCTGTGGTAGCTAGATACCGTAAGTAACTATGATGGCACCCAGGCTACCAATCTGGTGTTTTTAGATAAAGTACACAACTTTTCTAGCCTGGGTACCATCCTGGTTAGTTTACGTCCGCTCCCACAGTCGCTACCGATTGTGGGAGCGTACGTAAACTAACCAGGATGGTACCCAGGCTAGAACTTTTCAGCTATGCTGCTGGACTAAATATAAAGGGATAGAGTCGACGTCCAGACTCCAAAGTGCCTATTTGGGTGGCTTTCCAACCGGATTAGGAAATCTGAAATGGAAATATAAAACAATGTCACCAGAGGAATAAACAACATGTGTATCACTACTACTGAATAAATACATAAAGCGATGAAGACAAATGATACTAATTCCCAAAGCTACTCATTCTGATGAACTCACCTTTATGATAAAGACATCAAGAAACTTTCTAATGTAAAGTAAAACTATACAAGAAGATGGCAAAAGAATGCAAGAAGATTGGTGGTGAATTTTGTGAACTTTTACTTCGTGATAGTACAAAAAGTAGCCTCTATCAGGCTCCTCTGACTACAAATTGTGCCCTCTGGCCTGCAATTCAGTCTAGTTGGCCAATGTCTCTTACATCCCGCTCTCCCAGATACAGCAGCTGGCTGAGGACAGAGGAAGATGACGGGCCTGACGAAACTAGTCGGCTCGACTCACCAAGTGCAAGAGGATCGAGTGAGTGAATTTCTACTATTTTTCCAGTAACATGGGGGGCCTGGTAGAAGCTGTTGTCATCATCATGTCACAACTAAAAATCATGTTAACTACCCTATTCAAAAAGATTAAGATTACCCATTTTGGTTCTGGATGTCCTCCAGCTTGTCTGCCAAAGCCGCCATGTTGATGGCCCTCAGGTGTCCGGCCAGGGCGTCCAGAGTGGCCCGCCGGCCGTTCTTCATCCTCCAGCGGCGGAACGTCTGGTACGCCTTCTCGTGCAGGTTCGTACGCTCGCAATCCTGAGGATCAACCAAAAAAAATGTAGTTTTCCTGAGCTAATATACTTGCTTCCGTACGTAATGTGGTTCCCAGTTAACTGTAAGTAAGTAGGATGTCACCCAGACTAGAAGACTTGTCAGTAAAGGTAAAACTGTTACGTATAATACATTTATATGTAAACAGCGCAACAGAACTATCCCCTTACCCTCACTACTACAGTACTGAGAAGTACTGAGGCTGTGCGAAAACGGCACTAGTGACCTCATATCAGAGAGAGAGAGAGAGAGAGAGAGAGAGAGAGAGAGAGAGAGAGAGAGAGAGAGACAGAGCGACACAGAGCGCGAGAAACAGACAGAGGGAGAGAGAGACAAATAGAGGGAGAGAGAGAGAGAGAGAACAAAACACAGAGAAACCTAGGTACATGTACCTACCTCAATGGCATCAATTTCGGCATCCGTCAGTCCGATCTCTCTGGCGATTTTCTTCCACTGACGAGAGCCGACCTCCCCTGCCAGCCTGTTCAGCACTCGGGTCATGCTGAAGCCTGGAACGGTATGCCAAGTTTTTTAAAAATACAGATTACACTTACATTGATGCAACATTTTGTGTACTTTTCAGCCTATAGTACAAAACCTCTCAGTGTCTAGGGCTCTGCTGGCCCTGTATGAAAAAATGTTTAGTACGTTTCCTGATATACCTTACACCAATTAAAAACGCTCTGTGTACGTGCACATTGTATACAGGGTTTCCCCGGACATTGGCAGCAAGGTGCAAGTTGACACTGCTGGTTAGACAGTGACGTAGTAAAGCATATATTATGCTAACAGCACAAGTAAACAAGTAAAAGGGGACCTTTTGACCTGCGTGCCGCATAACTCACGGTTATCAGTGATACAGGTCATGTGGGTTAATCATTAACTAGTATCTATAAAATGCGTGAGAAAACAGTGCCATTCAAACCTTTGATTGGCCGCTCCCGGTCCCCGGTCAATAAGGCCATGTTGATTTTATTATATGGATGACATCCGCGCGCGCATGAATTTTCGGCCGTTTCCAAAAAAAAAAAAGTTTTCAACCATACTGTAAATCGTGCAAAACAGTTGCTAAATGAGCAAAAATATACCATTTGCAAGAAAAAAAATTAGGAAACGATACCAATGTTGTAGAATGTCAAAATCAAAGGAAAAAAGACAAAAATGTAAAGAAATGAATTCGAAGAGTAGATTATTCGCCATAACATATTCTGTGCCATTTGTTCAACCTTCATGACCACGTAGGTTTCATAGTGAAAGTAACTTTTTTTTTTGCAAAACTTTTTTTTTATTCGCACGCGCGCATCAGTTTTGGGGTTCCCAGAGGATGTCATCCATATAATCAAATCAACATGGCCTAATGTACCGGGCGCGCTGAATAGCCTCGGCGGGCGGACAACACACCCAGCACCGAGGAGGATCCGGGAAGCTCGCGGTACGCTGCAGCTGATACCAGGCCGGCTGGCATCAGCTGATATATACGATCATGTCTATTCCCACCAATCACCGACAAAACTTCTGTACTTCCATGTCCAAATATCAATGATAATTCCGAAGCTGAAATGAGGCAATCAGGGGGTCTCTGCTAACTTATGTTCCCGGAGTTCCAGTGGAGTTTTCAGGTACTGCATATAAAACTTCACGACGAACTACTTGAATCTAACTTCATCTAAAACTTATTCACGTCTTTACATATAATTGTTTCGTTGCCTTACCTTGTTTGGGAAGTTGGTCATCCATTTCCACAGCGTGCAGAAATACAGATTTAAACACTTAAATATATTTGCTGTTATAGTTTACGTGCGCTGCGGTAGGGAGGTCCGGTGGTCCGGTGCTACATGTACTTGTGTGCGCCGTCGTGCTGCTTTTCATGACTAGGAACGAATCTACCATTAAAATCGGGGGAGGGGAGGACAGTATGAATTTGTAAACGTTAACCCCCGACAAACTTGGTTTGAAAAGAACATAAGAAAGGTGACGTGGTTGTCAGCTGGTCAATATGCATGTTTCACGTTTCAACTGTAGCATTTTGCCGAGCAATCGGTCTGCTAGCACTCGGACTCGGTTGGTACCACCCCTAAAGAGTGTTTCATTTGGTTTCATCAACTAAAGAGTGTTTTATTAGTGTTTTGTACGGAAGTGTTTTGTACGGAAACACAGTGGTGTTGACACAGTTGACACACGGTCTAGGCGCTAGCCTGTTGGCGGTGTGTACTGTTCTTTCGTTTGTGGTCCTGTATCGAGCCTCGATGTAAGTTACATATGAGTTATGAGGGTACGAAAAAAGTAAGAAGCCTTTCGACACAAATACCACAAACACAAGCTACACCGAAACTTAAGCTGTGAGTTTGCTTGAGGTTATCTTGCATTTTTCGAGAGATTCGAACCCGCGCCCGTTTAAATTTGCCACGCCGCGCCGTACTAGCCGCACCGTACCATTTACGCAATACGCACGTTACGCAATACTACCTACTGTGGGTCCACGGAACAAATATCAGGTGGATAGGTACCGACGTTCTGCTCTTGTGAGTTTCGTTTTAGGCATTGCCATTGCCTAACGTGGGCGCTGTTGTGGGACCTGTATTAGCAAATGCAGCGCGCTGACGGTCAGAGGCAGAGGGTCAGAGGCTGCAAAGCACGTTGTAATACCTCGGCGTGCGCTTCCTGTTATGTTGTGTAAACATGTTGCTCGGCGGACGGGCAACACACCCAGCACCGAGGGGGATCCGGGAAGCTCGCGGTACGCTGCAGCTGGTACTGGCCAGGCCGGCTAGTGACTGGACAGTTTGTCAGAATGTACATGTATACAAATACACTTGTAAGAACTACACGAACTAGTCTCTATCAGACAGTTGACTGGAAATGAAACAAATCGGTCAGCAAGTAAGTCCCTAGCGTGCGCTGGGCGGGAGGCTTGACGGGCGTTTAAGCGCCGTAGAGATCGGGGAGCCGAAGACGTCAGCCTCACTATCAGAGAACTTTGTCGGTCTTAAAATTACAGATTTGTCCGCTTGACAATGTGCCGAGATCTGTTGAACTTGCGGACAATATTCTGTTGAGCAGACTGCAGAACTTTATTTATTGCACGACATGGTACACTGTAGGTCTATATCATGTGTTCTCACCAATCACAAGCAAAACTTCTGTACCGTACAAAAGAAAACTCCCAAGTGGTGATGCAACAATCATCACACTTGATCCGACAGACATGTACAGCCACGAAAAATTTCTTTAGTGAGGGAGTATGGGAGCCCCGGCATACCCACAGATAGGATGGCACCCAGGCTAGTTTTCAGCTACCCTATGACAAAATTCTCGATCGAACTAATGATATAAATTTATATATTTATATATTTACGCCTCTACGTATAACTGTTTTATTGTCTTACCTTGTGTGGGACGTTGTTGATCCATTTCCACAGATTGTGCAGAAATACAGCTTCAAACACTTTGATACTGAACACAAGTTTAAGTGCACTGTGGTAGTGTGGGTGTAATGCCAAACACACGGTGACGCGTGTGGAGGAATCTACCATTAGAACGGGAGGGGGAGGATGAGTATGAAGTTGTTGTAAACTACCTGTCTAATGATTCATAAATCACGCCAAAAAGGTGACTTAGTTACCATCTGGTCAATCTGTATGTTTCTTGTTTCAACCGAAGCATTTTACCTAGCAATCGGACTGCTAGAGCTCGGACTCGGTTGGTACCACCCCCAACAGTGTACGAAAGTGAAATGACCCCATGAGCTTTGCTATTTTTAAATTTGTCGGTGCGGTCTATTGTGTTAGCTCCGCCCCTAGCCTGACTAAATCGCGCTCCTGGCGGCCGCCGCCCTAGGTTGCCGCCCCCAAAGTACGAGGAGAGGGAAAAAACGAGTAGAGTGGAAAAAATACGTACATACGTCTGACCTTATGTCAGGGGACGACATTCACAACTCACCTTCGTCTGAGCAGGTATATCGAAGCTACCTGTGACCCTGGGTAAACACCGTCAGCCAATTACAAGCCTGTACAGTCAAACCTGCCTATAGTGGTCACTCAAGGGACTGGCCAAATTTGACCACTATGGCCAGGTGACCACTATAGAGAAACAGCCGGTTAGTTCGACCCCCCCCCCCCAAAAAAAGGGACACATGCTTTGAGTACCAACAGTGATGTCTTTATTCTGAAACATATGAATACATACATTTGCAAAGGTAAACCCCTTTTATGTGTACATGTCTTAGTTCAATAATTTGTTGTTCTTTTGCTTTAGTTGTACTTTATTTTGTACTTGCTTGAAAAAAAAAGAAATACAGAAATATTGCATGGAAACATTAACTTGACATCAAAGATACATACACTCAACATATTCAGTTTATCTACTTCTTGGACAATGAAACCATTCACATTAAAACATACAAAATCACTGGTTGTCATTTACTGTTCTTGTGTACATACTAGTACTACATGTGGCTAAAGAAAAGAAAGCAAATCAAGCAACAAACTTTCAACTCCAAACAAATTTCTATCGACTGCAAAATCATTTAATCTAAGCTCAGCTTTCGACGATTTCTTCTCACTCTCTCTGCCATTCGGATCACTTCCACCTTTTGGAATAAGTTCGGCGTCTGTCTTTCCCCTTTCGCCATCGTTTCTCCGCAATCGCCACGTTACTAGTAGTTGTTGTTGTTAGTCGAAAAGTGGAAGAGAACGACATCGCCATGTTTTTGTTCTTTGGTGAACACTTGCTTCGCGCGACCGACATACGCCACAGCGAATTCCAACCACGTAAATAAGTTATTTTGTACCAAGATGCTGTCTATTTAGTTAACAGCAAAATAATTGTTCGTCAGTTGCCAGTTACTTTCCGTTTTTGGTCGTTTTTGAACATGAAAACTTAGCGAAAACTCTCCTTTGTTTACGGCTTGGGTTTCTCCCCGCGTGGGTTGTCTGCCTCTACCATTATGCCAATGTGGTAGTCAACAGAAAAATTTTCTCCTTTCAGACTTATATCTTTTCTAAAATATCCACTACAGTGTTAAAATTACATCTAAAATTACTTGTAGTAATGTATTTCAAATGTTTTCATCATGTAATTACGTCATTTGACGCTAATAAAGTTAAATAAAATTCGGTGTATCTACCTCCATAACAGTGGAATCTCCGATGACCCCAATTGACCTCCCTCTGCAGCTAACATGCGCCATCTTGGAAAAATACGAAACGCATTTTCGAGCCAAATTTCTTTAATTATGCCCATGAAAAACGGAAGCTATGTACATATCTACGCATTTCAAGGAATCGAGAAACCAAATATGGATATTCTTAAGTTTTTTTGTGAAGATAATTGCCGTAATCTTCGCCGAGCGGCCGAGTCCATTGAAAGCTCCAATGCGGCACGCACGGCACTGGTGTTGGGGAAAACGCAGATATCAAAGACACCCGCGACCGCAGAAACTTCGTGTCAAAAGCCAGTTTTCCTTTATTTCATACACATATGGAGTCTAATTTTCAGTTCACATTTTAGTAATGTAGCGATCGGAAAATTATTACAAGGCTCATAACGGTCGTAGCCCGAGGTGGGGTGGTGTTACGGCCGTGGTGCCTAGCGGGTTACGGCCAGCCCCGACCGCTATCGGCGGTGTTGACATGCCGGCGGGACCGGAATGGGGTGACCGCTGACCGCGTTGAACAGTGACCGCTATAGACACGATTCTTAATGCTTACGTCAATGGGAAAAATTCAAGGGACCGGCAAAAACTGACCGCTATGGCCGAGTGACCACTATACAAAGGTGACCGCTAGTACAGGTTTGACTGTATTTGCGAATACAGCGCGCTGATTGGATGGCGTCAAGTGTTAAGGGCAGCCCGCTTTGTTAGCTCCTGCTGGGACGCGCGCGATTCCCACCCCGTCAAAATGTACCGGGGCGCGCTGAATAACCTCGGCGGACGGGGAACACACCTAGCACCGAGGAGGATCCGACAAGCTCGCGGTAGGCTTATACCGGGCCCGCTAGTGCGTAACAGTTTGCACTTGCATTGTAAATGTACTTGTTAGACTGAAGACACGAACCAGCCTGTTGGTGGGCAGAAATTGACTAAAGTATGGCAGATCAGAGGACTTGAGACTTCATACTAGTAATTTGTCCGCTGCACACGTATAGTCCCGAGATCTGTTGACAATTGCAGACAATTCTATCATACAGACCGTAACAGTGCACAGTTAGTTAACTGTGATATATGGCCATGTATGTTCTCACCAAGCACAAGCAAAATTTCTGCACTGTGCAGAAGAAAACTTTCAGGTGGTGATTTCATTACCACAGATGACAGACCACTAGAATCTTCGACACATCAACCTGCGGCATGTACATGTAGTGGTCTCTATTTTAGGGCCTCCTTGATTATAGGGAACAATATATCGGATCCCTCCAAATTTCACCCCTATTAAGTTTATATTCTAAGCAAATATACATCAGAAAACAGTAAGTCTGAAATCCATGCCAAACTATCAATGACCCAAAGCAGAATTCAGGAAGAAATCAGGGTGACTCTCTGTTAACATGTATACCTTACGGTGGAGTTTTCAGGTACCCCATTTTTACCTTCAAAACGAACTATTTGCATCTAATTACCTCGTATCACACTTATTCACGCCTCTACATATAATTGATTTATTGTCTTACCTTGTTTGGGAACTTGGCGATCCATTTTCACAGCGTGCAGAAATTCAGATTCAAGCACTACTTTTGCTGTTTAAACTATGGTACTGACTACTGTGTGTGGTGCTGGATACAATATGCGCCTTGCGCTTGCTGACTTTTGTAATTTGGCGCATGTCA